TCCAACAGTTACTATACCAGCCAATCCATTCAGTCAGTCACCTACGGAAGCTAGTACAGATGCAAGAATCTCTTGCCAAAGAACTCAGCTACAAATCAGAATTGGCTGCCAAAGTTATACCTGTAGCTTACCGACGGCAGGTATACGCCCTAGAAGAATCCACAACGAAAATGAGGAGGAACTTAAAAGGACTAAAAAGACGCTTTTTGGCAAATAGAGTTGACGGATCTGGCGAAGCCTTTGACGGCATTCACAGTACTTGGGAGGCCGTTATAACAATTTAAGGTAATGCCATTTGGTTTGTGTAACGCCCCTTCCACTATGTGACGCTTAATGGATAGTATAATCCCTCCTGATTTACGCCACTGCGTTTTCGGTTACCTTGATGACGTCTGTATCGTGTCTGATGATTTCTCTTCGCATTTAGCTGTTTTAGTTTGCTTAGCTGAGGGGGTTAGGAAAGCTTATTTGATGCTTAATATTGACAAGAGCCATTTTTGCGTAACAAGCGTTAATTATTTGGGCTACGTGATAGGTAATGGTGGAATCTGTACTGAACCATCTAAAATCTCGTGTATCCTTAACTGGCCGCTGCCAAAGAATCTAAAAGAGCTACGTGGATTCTTAGGTATTTGTGGTTGGTATAGGCGTTTTATACACAATTTTTCAACGCTCACATTCCCTATCACCGAAGTCTTGTCAACGAAGAAAAAATTCGTTTGGACTGAGGAGGCACAAATAGCGATGGACAAATTAAAGACGCTGCACAGTGGTTGGGCTTGAATGAAGCCGCGGCCATAAGTACTTCTGGTTCATACATTGTAACGAAATTTACACCAATTCTAGAAAAATGTTTAAAATGTATAATAAAGAAATTTGCCATATCGTACGTCTATATCATATAGCTGCCATAGTATGAGTATTGAGTAAGGAGTATTTAGCATGAAAAACGTTTTTGATTTTCAAGATATGTAAACCAAACTCACCAATTGTGTGTTCGGAGCAGTTTTGTATATGCTTACCAAATATAGTCCAAATCGGAAAACTAAATCATACAGCTGCCATATCAAACATGTCAAACAGAAATATGTATCAGTTTCAAATAATATTCAATTAATTTAATAATAAGACACTTTTGTAAAACAAAATTGGAGCCATAACAAATAAAAAATAAAAAAATTTTGTCTGTTTGTTAAGTCCGTATTTGTAGCAATTCGAGATATTTTTCGTGTATTCTGCTTTCTATATACTTGTATGTCTTCGCTTCGCGACTCTGCAGCTCCTTCCGTTAATTCTCCAATTGAAAGAAGTGCAAAATTAATCACATCTTCACCATGGATTAATACTTTGTGCACTGAGGGCGGGAAGTAGTACCAATCATACAAACTTAGCAATTTTTTGGCAGTGTCAAGAGCATATATTTGGAATTTATCAGCATTAATCCTGCACCCCGATGCCATGGCGTTAAAAATCCGCCAACTTTTTTTTGGCTAAAATGTAAGCAACGTGCAAAAAAATATTCTAAAAATGTTATACGAGGGTGGTCCGATAAGTACTTAGTCTCCAAAAGAAAAACGAAAATTTTGGAAAAGTGCCGATTTATTTCTCAACATAATCTCCTTTTAGCTCGATAGACTTGACCCAGCGATGCTCCAACTTCTTTAACCCGTCTGAAAAATACGTTTTCTCGAGGTCTGCAAAATAGGCCTCTGTGGCGGCGTCGTCCTCCTCATTCGACCCAAATTTCTGTACAGCGAGGGACTTTTTCAAGTTTGGAAACAAAAAGAAGTCACACGGGGCCGAGTCTGGGGAATATGGTGGATGGAGTAGCAGTTCGTAGCCCAATTCGACCAACTTGGCCTTGGCGAGGGCGGAAGTGTGAGGCGGTGCGTTGTCATGATGGATGAGCATTTTTTTCTTCGCCAAATGGAGTCGTATTTTCTGCAATTCGGCGGCGAATCGGCCCAATAATTCGGAATAGCACAGCCCTGTGCTTTTTTCTAGGTAGTCGATGTAGATCACACCTTGTGAATCCCAAAAAACGGTGGCCATCACCTTTCCGGCCGATGGGACAGTCTTCGCCTTCTTCGGAGCAGGTTCGCCGGGTGAAGTCCACTGTTTCGACTGTTCCTTGGTCTCTGGTGTGTACCAGTGGATCCATGTTTCGTCGACGGTCACGAAACGACGCAGAAACTCCTTCGGGTTGCGCTTAAACAGCATCAAACACTGCTCTGAAGTGGTCTCACGGTTGCGTTTTTTGTCCGGAGTGAGCAAACGCGGCACCCATCGCGCCGACAGCTTTCTCATGCCCAAAATTTCATGCAGTATATGACCCACGCGGTCTTTTGACATGCCCAGTGTCTCAGCTATCTCGCGTATCTTCAATCGGCGGTCTGCCAATACGAGATCGTGGATTTTTGTCACGTTATCCTCCGTGGTAGCCGTTTTCGGGGCTCATCAAAAACCGACATGCGACCACGTTGAAACTCGTTAAACCAATATTTGACGGTTGCCATCGAAGGAGAAGAGTCACCGTACACAGCATCCGAACGCTCTTTGATTTCGCTGCGCAATTTTTCTTCCAAAAACAAGAAAAGAATCACAGACCGATATTGCTCTTTCTCCATTTTTCAGTCAAAACAAAACTACGAGTCCGATTCGACTGAAATTTCGACAGTTTTCTATTTGAAATTTGAACCTCATTGGTCTGCAGAAGCGTGCAGATGAAGGTCGGGTATTCTTCCAAATTATTTTTTGACCTTTGGGATCACTTGGATTGGTAATCAATTGCAATGGTACGTATGAGGTAACTAAAAGAATGCAGTCGTCCAAATTATTGTTAAGCGCTTTCTGTCTATACTCAGGCTGTTTGGTGCTACCATCGAATCCCTATTTTCCGATCAAAATTAAGTTTTTAACCGAATAGAACGTTTAGCAAACTTTGCAGTTGAACTTCAGTATTTCCTTCAGTAACGCTGATATCTTATGGGTAGCTGTTTTTTGTTTTTAACACCTGCTCGTAACTTGGCAGTAAATCAACTGATACTAGCATATTTATAAACTTATGAATAAGCTAATATTGGTGTTTTGATAAATTCGTCTCTACAAAAAGTGATAAGACTTCGTCAATATTTGCTTGGCAATGTTTTGGGCCTGAAGACAAGCTGCACGATAGAAGCAAGGAAGCAGCAGAGTGATCTGTTTTCGCTATTTTAGTAATCCTTTGACGTTTTGCTCTATACACCAGTGAGCACAGGTCAATACAATTGTTTCGATTTCATTCAGCCAACTTGATTGATATTGCATAATTGAAGTTTTCTCCCGTTTATAGCTATCCCAAAAAGTAGCTATTATTTCACATATGCAATTAATATGTTTTGGAAGTTGGCTTAGCTCGGGGATGTAACCCTTGTTTTCAATCTGCTCTTGCATAACTTCGATAATTTTTTTAATCTCCCAGCGTTGGTTTCACCCTCTGCACACCAAAGATTAAAAATACACACTTATGAGAATCTTCTAAAAAGTAAACAATAATATGAAAAGCTTTCAAAACAAAAGCCCAATAAGGAAAAACTTGCCCTTGGTAAACGCTAGATGGCATCAGTATTTTTACGGTTATATAAACATCTGCAAATTTGTTTAGCTGATTTTAAGTATATAGTATTTAAAAATCAAAGAAACACAATTACATACATACTATTTGTGGGATTTTGTGGGATCACAACTAAAACTTTAAGTAAACATAAAAAAGACGTTATCAAAATAGAAAAAAAGGATAAATCGATATTAAATACACAAAAAAATTTAACAATAATTATTATTATTGTTCGTACCCAAAGGTGCTCAACATGACCACACCCAACAAATCAAGCTGTAGCCAAGTTGGGAACAGTACCAGGCGCTCAGTAGCACTCACTTCAGACTAACTCACCGTCTCACCGACTCAACGGCTCTCTGACCCGCCAATGCAGTCAGCACATGTTGTAGTGTCAGTACCAGGCGTATAGTAGCACCCACTGCATATGAGAATTGCTGATCAGCATATTATACGTCTCACTAACTCACCGTCTCACCGTCTCACCGACTCAACGGCACACTGACGCGATAACGCAGTCAGCACATGTTGCAGTCTTAGCTGAGCCAACTGCACCATAATCATAATTCCCTGACCTACTTTAGAATATAGCTTATTTCACAAATCATTACACTAAGCTTCCGTGGTCCAAGTAGTATATAAACATGTTTCAAATGAAGAATTAAACAGTTATCAACACACCTCATAATTCCGCGGTTCTACCTACTAATAGGAATAGGGCTCGTAATACACTATCTCAACTAGCAGCTAACCACGTTAGCTCTACCTCAGCGCAGTTCCGCATCTCCCGTGGTCCGGCATCGCAGCAACCATCGTTACCGTTGCCGCGACGCGATCGTCCTGCCAGCAAAGCGTCCCCGTGCGAGCGACAAGTGCTCATTACCCCCTTGTCCCGCGGTGTGACCCGGAAGTGTCTACTTCGGTTAGGCACAAACAATAATAATTATATATTATTATAATAAATTTAATATAAGTTTCACAAAACCAATTTAAAATTCATTTTAGATAAAATAGATATAAAAATAATTAAAATTGGTGAATTTTGGCAAACGTCCGACCACATTGAACTTCACTTTTGTTTTGTCGAAAAGCTAACTTAACGCAACTGCAGCTGTTAAATTGAACACGTGTTTACACTTTGCATTCTATTTTTAGAAAGTCCCGATCGATTTCCGGAAAAAACTGGTTTTCCATGGAAAAATTTGGACAATTTAGAGACAAATTCTTTATGTTTTGACTAAATATTTTTAGATCGATTGAATTATGGCCTATGGGCGCAATCACTGTGCGTTGCTTTATAGCAATGCATTGCAATCCATTGCCAAATTAAAAAAAAACTTATTTGATAAATTTTGATTGAAAGGCTGGATAGCGACATTTATACTTTGGTGTTATTACAATTTCAGGTGGCATGGATTAAATCTGATTCAAAAGCAATACTTGGTATACACACACACATGGTCTCACTAAACCCAAGATTATCGGTGACACATAACGGCCACAATACCTGGAAGCTTCACATATCACGTGTACAGATAAACGACTCCGGCAGCTACATGTGCCAAGTTAATACAGATCCTATGAAAAGCCTTGTAAGTGCATTTCCTCCTTACTACGTGTCCTTTACCAAAAATTTCTTCAAGTGCATATGTACATATAAAATAAAAAACGTTAGAAGCTAGCTTAAGAGTTCTCAATTTTAGAAAAAGCCCACTATGCAGTTAGAACCTTATGAATTTTATGTTTTGCAGTCCGGATACCTAGATGTAGTTGTGCCGCCAGATATTTTAACCCATCCAGAACATAATTCTGAGGAAAGTGTCAGCACAGAGGGAGGAAGTATTTCGCTCGTATGCAGTGCGACAGGTGTTCCAAAACCAAAGGTTCAATGGAGACGTGAAGCAGGGAAGGAAATTATACTTCGCGCAGAAAGCAGAGATAAACAAGGTTTGTTTAATAGGTATCACCGAAAAAATATTTAAAATATAGAATCGGAAATTTTAACATTTTTAGAGGGCTTACAATACTAGTTAAGGTCTAAAGTCATTTTATAAACCTATTGCGTGTTCTTTGTGGTGCCGCAACTGCTTGGGTGTTGCCTACGGCCCTCATCAGTGAATTTTGTTTGGATGAAGCTTACAATGCGTTTTGGGAAGACAGTAAAAAAGTCTGAGAAATATAAAAATTAGAAACATATTTTAAAAATTGCGACCAAGTATCGCAATCTGCGGGCACTTAAAGCTGGCAGTAGCAGAAGAGGTGTTGTAATTTCTCCTCATTTTCCTCATCTCTACAGATTTTAAAAGCCCTAGGGGTACTTCTTTGAACGTGTATTTTGGCTTTTTAATTCCACGCTTTCATACCTACATATTCGAAGAAGACATAGCTTTGAAAATTACTTTGCTTTAAATATATAGACATTATAATCAACATTTGTATTTAAAACGTTAACTGGCTATAACAAGTAAACGCGAACTAAGCTAGACAAACACAAATGGGTTTCCGCTAGTTTCGATGAGTACTTTGCGTACGTGAAGTCCAAATTGAGGTTAAATTTTTTCGTGTTGCACTGTGTTAGTAATTTAACAATATTTTTATACCCGTTACTTGTAGAGTAAAACGTTATACTAGATTTGTGGGAAGGTATGTAACACGTAAAAGGAAGCGTTTCAGACCCCATAAAGTATATATTCCTGATCAAGATCACTAGCCAAGTCGATCTAGCCATGTCCGTCTGTTCGTCTGTCCGTATGAACTCTGTGATCTCGGAAACTATAAAAGCTACATTACTGGGATTAGGCATGCAGACTCCTAAGATTCCTGCGCAGCGCAAGTTTGTATCGACAGAGTGCCTGGAAGGCACGTGCCTTTTTTCGTCTTTTTCACTTGCGTTTATTATGTGAAGGAGTTAAAATTACCCGCAATTAACGTAGTTAAATAAATTAAACCAGTGCACAGTGGTTCGGCTTGTATGGAGCTGCGGCCATAATTACTTTTAGTTATTATATTGTTACAAAATTTTCCCCAAAATTAAAAAAAAATATTATAAACATATGTATGTTATAAGAAATGGCCATATCGTACGTCTATATGATATAGCTGCTATAGGAACGATCGCCGCCGTGACGACACCTTTTTTTTCCACCACCAACTTTGAAGTCTCATTACTTTTTAAACAGCCCTCGTATCGAGTCAATTTTTTTTTTATTTACTTTGAACCTTTTGTAATACAATAAATAAAAAAAGTTTTCAATTATTTTTTGCGTTTTCAAATAAGAAATTTTTAAAAAGGGTCCAAAAAACGGGTTTTGAATGAGAAGACCCCCTTAAATAGAAAATTAGTATGCAAATTTTTTCTTATTTTTAGAGGTATGTTATCTAAACTCCCAGACTATAAGGTTGGTGTAGTTTTACATTTGCTGCCATAGGAAAAATCAACTATTTTGTTTATATTTCATAAATTTAAATATCTTCCCCCGTCTAATTTTCAAGCTATACACCTACTAAAATAATATCATATCAAAAAATCATAAATTAAACAATCATATTGTAAGCCAATTTATTATTCTCAATATTATTTTGAACATCCTAGATAATTTCCCGTAATTTCGCAGCGTTGCAACCACCTTTGGTGCACCATAAATTTAAAATATAATGTCGTGAAAATACACAATGATACGAATCTCCTTTGAGAATGCAAAGAAAAATTATAAAAGAAAAACGGAAAAATAAGTAGAATAATTTTAAGTAAAAGAAATAAACTGACAAATAGAAGCTGTAAACAATCGCAAAAGACGAACACAAAGACACAACAAAAACAGAGACACAAAAGACGACACAGGGACTCCGCTGCAGCGCGCTGGCAAAATTTGACCTTGAAAAAATAAGAAGTCGTGTTAGCATATTAACGATTACAACTACATTCGCAACATTCCGCACCTAACTTTAACGATTTTAAAATCTTTAAACTCTGATAAGTATAAAAAAAAATCCTTGTTTGGAATCGTCTGGGATCACAACTAAAACTTTAGGTAAACAAATTTGAGACACACAAAACAGGTACAAACAAGAGGTTTCACATATCAAGTTAGATTTTATTAATTTCATATCAAGTTAGTATAAATTAATTTCATAAAGTAAAAAAAATACCTTGAGCTTCAAAATCCATTTTGAATAATATAATTTTATAAACTTGAACAGTTACCAGTCCGATTTGAAGTGCGCTTTTGCTTTGAAATATTTTACCACAGCTCCGATGCGCTGTTGAAATGAACACGTGTTCATGCTTTTGATTCTATTTTTAGAATGTACCGTTGGGTTTCCAGCGAAAACCGGTTTGCAAATTGGAAGATTGGACATTTTAGAGACAAACTGTGTAAGTTTAATTTAAATACCACTGTGCGCTGTTGACATCGGCACCCGTTCTGCAAAACCCTGGTTTTGACCAAAAGTTTTACCTTCACTGCGAGGTCAGTGATTATAGAATCGGTGCTGTTCTGATTCAGCTGTCTGACGAATTGGAAAAAAAACCAATAGCTTTTATGTCGAAAAAGTTAACCCGAGCCCAAAGGAATTACTGCGTAACCGAACGAGAAGCGTTGGCTGTGCTTGTCGGAATAGAGAAGTTTAGATGCTATTTTGAGTTACAACATCTAGAAAAATTGAGAATGGAAAAAACCGAGATTGGTTCTTGTCGGTTTTTAGTATTGTGTCTTCACATTTTTCTTCTCGGTTTCATGACGGAAGCGATGTCGATTTTAGTATTCCGAACTAAAATCAATCTCGGTTCTGTGGTTGTTGACGAGGGACGTGAGGGGAAGACTCAGAAAAAATGACAGTGAAAGGAGGGAGACCAAACTCCTCTCTTGAAATGACCGCAAAGTTATCGAAACAAGCGGCGTCTATGTAGCTGCAAATTCACTTCTTTGTATATGGTGAAGCTGTGCGGTTTAAGAGCGTAATGCGTGACAACGAAGACGAGCAAAAATTGGAGGACCTACTTCAGGAATTTAAACTAATAAAAGTCCTTCCGTATTTACAGCGTAAGTAAAATGATTTTATTACAACTTGTGTTAGTGTGTTAGTTTATCTTTGATTTTTATTCGAACACGTTTTTCTTAACAAAACAAAATCGGTAACTTGTTGTAACATAACACATAACATAAACGTAACGTAACGTAAACTAATAATTATTAGCTTATAAGCTAATGAGTGAAATAATTAGGTAAATTGGATGGTATTAACAAACACAGATTTCTATAAACGTATGTATGTATGTATGTTAGCATAACTGTGTGCGCAGGGCAGTTTTTTATTCGACTTGTAACTACCCTGCAGTTCCACAATTGAGTTAAGCGCCCAATCATCACGAAGCCGACTGCGACGTCGGCAGAGAAGCCAGCGACGCCGGCAGAGCTGAGCGCAACGGCGGCAAACCGACGCGCTCTCAGTCGGGTCCGCAAAGAGAACGGACAAAAAGTAATTTTGGGCTCTCCCTCTCTCGCCATGTCTCAGACGGAAAAGTGCGTGTGATGGGAAGGAGGCCCAGCAACTAAAATATATAGACTTTTGTGCACCCTTGCCTTTTGAATAATGCGACATTTGTTCGTAAATGATAAAACAACCATTTAAAATAATAGGTTTCTGTTTTAAAATATTTGTATTTCTTAAAAAAATTTATAGGTTTATTAATATTATTTAATAATATGTGAAGTTTTAAAAATATATTTTTATAAACCGATTTGCATAGTCGGATATGTCTATAAATACGCTGCTTTTATGTGCAAGATGCATAGACCAAACGGGACATGCCAAAAAAACAGAACGACACGGATTAGCGGAACCGTTGTTGTTGTTTGTTGTTTTTCTGGAAGGCACGCGACTTTTTTCGTCTTTTTCACTTGGGTTTACTTATGTGAAGGAGTTAGAATTGCACGCAATTAAGGTAGTTAAATAAAATAAACCAGTGGTTTAAAAGTAATACCTATACGATTCCCAGGTAAGTCTGTCGCAGACCAATATTTATTTAATCAGTGAGAGTAAAAACAAGTTAATGTATATTAAAAAAATGGAAAATACAAGATTCCGAAAAAAAACAAGTGGCGGAAAAAAAATAGCTGTGAAAAATATTAATTTTTGACGTGAAAAACAACAAATGATGCATATAAATAAACAAATGAATGAATCTGTGAAAAAATTTTAAAATCTTATTTAGTGCTGAGTTCCTAGGGACCAAAAATAAGAGATGTTTGTTTTTATAACTTATGATTTTTTGTATTAATAACATTAAAGCACAATTTTTATTTTTGTGTAAGTAAACAAACATGGCTATTTAAATAAAAATCTCAAACATCTCTAATTTTCCGTCCCTGGAAAAGTGGTATTTTTTCCGCATCTGCAAAATAAATAAATAATTTAATAAATAATAAAAAAAATACATAAATAATTTTTTACAGCAAAATAAAATAAATCAAGTGACCGAAAACAAAAGTTTGCAAATTTCTTCTCGATATTTTTTTAATTTTCTTTATATTTTTAGACAAGGCTGATGGTGGAAAAAAAATAGCTGTGAAAAATTTTAATTTTTGACGTGAAAAACAACAAATGATGCATATAAATAAAGAAATGAATGAATCTGTGAAAAAATTTGAAAATCTTATTGAGTGCTAAGTTCCTTGGGACCAAAAATAAGAGATGTTTGTTTTTATAACTTATGATTTTTTGTATTAATAACATTAAAGCACAATTTTTATTTTTGTGTAAGTAAACAAACATGGCTATTTAAATAAAAATCTCAAACATCTCTAATTTTCCGTCCCTGGAAAAGTGGTATTTTTTCCGCATCTGCAAAATAAACAAATGATTTAATAAATAATAAAAAAAATACATAAATAATTTTTTACAACAAAATAAAATAAATCAAGTGACCGAAAACAAAAGTTTGCAAATTTCTTCTCGATATTTTTTTAATTTTCTTATATTTTTAGACAAGGCTGATGGTAAATCTATAAAAAAATGGAGGGCTAAGTCGTTCCATCTTAAGCATATTATCCGAGGAATTTGTTCTGTCCCACAACTTGGAGGGGGG